GGGGAGAGGTGCCGGGACGGCCCGTTTCTAGGAGGGGGAGGGGGAGGGGGAGTAGCTGAGGTCGCTGGAACTCAGTCATGAACTCGGCCAGCTCAGGGATCCCCAGGGGTGCTGGAGGCCCGCACACTGGTGGCTTTTCCTCCCCAAGGCCCCTAGCCGCGGGCGGCGGCGCAGAATATCCAGCACACCGGTTTCCCAGACCAGGCAGGCCCCGCTTTCGGCCGCGGGTGGGTCCAGGCCCGGAAGGCCGGGCGGGGTCGGTTGGGCCGGGGCGGAGCTGGCGCAGGGGCCGGGCCGCCCCCTTCCAGCGAGGGCGGGCGGGAGGCCGGCGCCTTTAAACGCGGTGGGGCCGGCTACCCGCCACCGTCTGCCCAGAGGGAGCGGGCGCCTCCCCAGTGCCCCGCGTTCTCCGCGCCCCGGGCATGTCTCTGCGGTCCCGGCGCCCGCCCGCCTGAGCCGCCGGCGCGTGTGGCCGCGCTCCCGCCCGCGTTCCCTCCGTCGGCGCCCGGAGCAGCGGCCTCGGTGCGCCCCTGGCCGGTCCCCCACGCTGCCGCCCGCCGCGGGCCCGTCCGCCATGCAGGCGCGGGCGCTGGTCCTGGCCGCCCTGGTCGCGCTGGCGCTGGCCCGGGAGCCTCTGGCCACGTCGTGCCCCGCGCGCTGCGACGTGTCGCGGTGCCCGAGTCCCCGCTGTCCCGGCGGCTACGTGCCCGACCTCTGCAACTGCTGCCTGGTGTGCGCCGCCGTCGAGGGCGAGCCGTGCGGCCGCGCCGTAGACTCGCCGTGCGGGGAGAGCCTGGAGTGTGTGCGCGGCGTGTGTCGGTGTCGCTGGGCGCACGCCGTGTGCGGCACCGACGGGCACACCTACGCCAACGTGTGCGCGCTGCAGGCGGCCAGCCGCCGCGCGCTGCAGCTCTCCGGGACGCCCGTGCGCCAGCTGCAGAAAGGCGCCTGCCCATCGGGTAAGCGCTCTCGGTCGGGCTGCTCCGCTAGCACTGCGGGCGGGGTGGGGGGCGGTGGTGGTGGAATGAAGCGGTCTCCTGGGGAAACAGGCTCAGAGCCGGGGCGGAGCCTCAAGGTCCACACTCCCCGGGCACAAGTGATGGTTTCTTTGAGAAATCATCCAACCAGCCTTCTGGTCTTCCAGGTGGGGAAACTGAGGCTGGGAGAGGTTAAAGTGCTGTCCCCAAGGTCACAGAAGTGAAACCTGGTGCTCTCCTAACCACCCCGAGGGGCCTGGTCTAGCTCTACATCTCTCCAGCCTCTGGCCTCATCAAAACTTACCCATGTTGTGTCTCATTTCCCCTGGTCCCCATCTCCATCCCTGCCTGGGTGATGGATGCAAAGAGATCTTTCCGGGACTTAAATCTCCAGTCTGGATATTCAGGAGACACCAATTGAGTGACATGTGGTGTTTCCTTTCTCGTCTTGCACTGCGCTTAAAACGCATATGTCACCTGAGGGCTGTTTAGGAATGGGGAGCGGGCTTGTGGAGCCTCTGGACTGCTTGGAGCTCCGTGGGGACCGGCCGTCGGGGTAGGAAATTTCTCAGTCCCGTCACACCTTAGAACAGCCTCCCCTAACCTGGACTTGGCTCTGGGTTGCTTCTTGCCACACAGGTTGACCCTGTGGAAGAAAATGCTGGCAAACCCTACTGTGCCCTTATTTGTTTGGGGCACCTCTTAGGAACACAGGCTCCAGCGTTGGTTCCGCAGGTGCTCTGAGTGCAGCAGCCTGCGCTGGGCCCGGAGTTCACGGCGATGGAGTTGTCAGGCCCCGTTGTGTGCCCTCAGCCCGCAGCTGCCCACCAGGAGATGCTGACCACCAGAACAGGCTCTGCCGTGGGGAGCACGGCTGCCTGGAGTGCCGGGAAACCTTCAGGGGTGAGGGGCATCTAAGCTGAATCTCCGAGGATGGGGACGCGTCTTCCAGGTAGCGGGAGGGATAGGCTTTCTGGGAAGAGAAGACAGCGTGAACCACCACGTGGACGCATGTGCATGGTGAGCCACGTAGCCCAGAGCAGTTGTTGTGCCGGGGGTGCGTGTGGGCGCGCGTGCACGTGTAGGCTTGTGAGAGACACCCAAGGCTGGGCGGCTTGGCTGGGACAGGACCACAAGTGGCCCATAAATGTCGTGTTTTCGGCTTCATCCTGTAGGCCAGGCTTCCCGAACCATGTCTGGGATTCTGAAAATAAGTGTCCTGTGGCCCCAAAAGTCTGGGAAAGTAAACGCCGGCCCTGCAATGGGGATTCACACTCCGCTTGAGTCTATCGGAGCTTCTGAGAAAACCTACAGCAAAAGGAAAAAAAACCCCACAAAATGATAAAACCCAGGGTCTCCCAAGAGAGCTTCAACAGACCTCTTTCCTGGCAGAACACACGTGACCTCCTCCTGGCACACCGGGGTTCCGGGGAGCCCGGTTTGGGAAGCGTTATGCGGGCTTAGCCATGATTATACGGGAGAGCCATTGAAAGGTTTTAAGAGAAGTGAGGGTGATGAGGTCAGTCTTGTGTTTGGATTGTGCCCAGGAGACTGGAAGCATGGTGCCACTCGATGTCATGGAGATGGGCATTATCATTTCTTGAGCACCCATCGCACCTTCTGACTTGGGGCTCGGAACCAGCCACCCGGTGGGTCTGGGAGGCAGAGGGCTCAGGGTGGGCCTGGCGCCTGCCCACTGCAGCTCGGTGGTGTCTGTGGTCCCCTTCCCAGTGCCAGCTCTCCCAAGTAGTGGATGCTGTTAGGATCAGGCTCCAGGGTGCCGGGGGTCAGCAGGGAGGTTGGAGGTGGTCTAGGCATTTTGAAACCTTTATTCTTGACTGAGGGAGTCCACGTCTGTGAAGCACCTTCTCTGTGTGTCCCGCTGGCTGTGGGCTGGTAACAAGGCCCCTGTAATGAGGCAGACCCCATCTGTGTCCTGGAGAAACTGACAGTGGGGGAAACAGGAGGTTGAGAAGAGGACAGTAGCTCAGTGACCACAGACAGATGTCTGTCCAGCACCTGGGCTCAGTAGGTGCTGTGGAATGAAAGCCTGGCCCACGTGGTGGGCGTCCCTCCTTGCATACCTCCAGTGATGATGGGTTCACTACCTATCTGTGGAGCTCTTGTGTACTCCCATGTCTGTGCTAGGCAGATACTACACGGTGTGGGTGAATATCTATCAATGGGAGAGTAAAACCCAGAGAACTGTGTGCAGAGGGTCTGCGTAGAGCAGAGGTGTCCCTTTTCACAGCCTCTCTGCCTACAACTGCAGACAAATAGGCCTTCGAGCGTGCAGTTAAATCAGAATCTCAAGCCCTGGGCGGTTCATGGTGTGGCATTTAATCATCAGCTTTTATTGTTCAGCCCCAGCGCAGGTGCCAACAGAGGCTCTCAGCTCTATTTACTTAAGTGATTTGTTGGCTTTCGATTTTTAATCCTCTTAGCAGCTTCCTGGGGCCTTGTGGGTCTCAGAATTCTGCATTCAGGACTCATCAGGCATCCCCACTCCTCTCACTCCCCCTGCCCAGACAGCAGGGCTGAACTGCAGCATCTGGTGGCTCCTGAGGACTCATGAGACGCACATCTCCCCAGCCCAAAGCCCTGCTGTGACTCTGGGACCACTGGCTTTGGGACCAAGCAGGACTTCTGATGCAGCCTGCAGGCTCAGTACGTCCTGACCTCTGCAGCCTCAGCCTGCCCACCATCACCATCACCAGCTGAGTCCTTGTGAAATCCCTGATCATGTGTTGTGAGGGCCAGATGACAATGTGTGGAACTCAGGGGAGGGAGAACCCATCTCCGGGATGGGGAAAGACATAGATCGGGGAGGGCTTCCTGGAGGAGGTGGCATCTAAACAGCCATGGAGAGGTTGATGCAAAGAGAGCCTGTGCTGAGGAGGACAGCAGGAAATGCTGAGCATAAGCTGGTGCCAGATGGAGGAGCTGTGAGGGTGACCCATCTCTAGGAGGTGAGGGACCCCTGAAGGCTTATGGGTAACAGGTGTACAGAGTGGGTACAGGGCCCCAGCTAGTGCGAGTCTGATGCCCTGAGGAGGAAGAACTGATGAGGCCTGAGCTAGGGGGACAGGCTCCAGAGGCATTAGTATCTCATGACTGATGGGGGTAAGGGGTCAGGGTGGGTGGCGGGGCCTCTCCTGGAGCAGCGAGTTCGGAGAGTTGTGATCAGGTTCTGGCGGGGGGCTCTGGCATGGAGGGTGTCTAGTGGGGCATGGGGTTCCATGACAAGAGCCTGGCTGATGAGTGGCCCTGTCCGTGTGTTGGTGGCAGTATTGCTGTTTGTGTCATTGAGAAGGGGTGGCCTAGGTTTGGGACAGGGTAGCAGGCTCATCACCTCTCCAGGCTTTGGGGGCCCCACCATGACCTGTGAGCCCTGTGGAGCTCCACCCCTACCCAGCCCAAATCCAGGTCCGTCCTTGCCTTCAAGTCCACATCTGAGGGGACCCAGCAGAGACACCCAGCCGCTTTGGGGATGAACTGCCCTGACTTGGTCACACTGCGAGCATTGTGCTGGGTGAGCTGGAGCAAGGGTGTGCCAGACTGGTGCCAGACACCAGTGGGTGTGCCACTGGCTGTGTCCACCTGGCCTGACACATACCTCTCAGCTGCTGGGAGCTCTGGGGAAAATGAGGCCAAAGCAGAGATTCACTTGGCCTCCTTGGAAGCCTGGGGTTCGTGCAGACTGGATGACGGAGTAGCCGGCAGCTGACTGAGTGAGCCGGTGTGTCCTGCCAGAGGGTCTGAAAACAGCCTCCTCCTTGGCCTGCTCTGAGGGTGAGAAGCCACCAGGTTTTACCAGGGTCAAGGGCGAGACCTTGTGCTCTGGGCTAAACACACATGGTGTCTGGGTGTTTTTGTCACGGCCCTTTAGAAGAAAAGACTCATCAAGGTGTAGTGGGCTACCCGAGGTCACCAGGTGGGGAGGGACAGCTGTGCTGAACCCGGGTCCTCCTGACTGTGCATCTAGTACCCTGTACCCCGGGCAGGCCTCCAGCACCTTGAGGAAATGGCCTCCCTGCTTGGTTTTGATAAGGGTGTTGAATAAACAGGTTGGAAAGAGAATAAAATCACAGACCCCTTGTCCTCAGTGTAGCAAAGATGTGGCCAGGACGTGTGGGTGTGTGCGCATCCCAAACTGAATTCCCAGTCTGGTGCAGAGGGTAGCAGTGCACAACCTGCCCAACTGTATTCTCTAGCCCCTCTAGCAAACAATGGGCAGAGCCACAACTGAGACCCAGTTCTGTTCCCAGCTGCTCAGGGGTGAGTCCCAGCTCTACCACTTTCCGTGGAGAGACGCTGCAGGTCTAAGCTCTCCACGCCTCAGTTTCTTCATCTGTGAAATGGGGACAACAGATCCCCCTCACTGGGTCATTGACAATCAATGAGATAATGAATTTCAAGTGCTTTGCACCATGTAAGCGTTAATTAATAGGCGTTAGTGGGAATAAACCTAAATGTTGACAAATGGACGTATCTGACATAAGTGGAGTTTGTGAGAGGAAAGTGGGGCAGTGGAGGACGGGAAGGATCTGGAGGGCAGTGTTTGTGGAGCGGTTGCCACGTGCCAGGCCCTGCCCACGGGGGTTCCACTGGCCTCGTTTAGTACCCACGTCACAGCTGAGGAGCCTGAACCCAGAGGAGTCAGCTGATGGACCAGTCAGGGAAGGGAGGGCTTCCTGTAAGAGGAGAACCAGGGGCTGACCCCACCTTGGCTTCCGTGGCTGGGCGGCCCTGTGGGCGGCCCGGAGGCCTGCCTGGCCTGTGGGGCCCCTCTGACAAAGCACAAAGGAGCTGATCGCCGAGCCCCCTCCTCCACAGGGTCGGCTGCAGCCCCAGCGGGATTCACAGCCAGGAAAGCCAGGCTGGCCCTAAGCCGATGACCGGCCAAGGCTGGACTCTCCTGGGGGCGGGACAGCCGGTCCCCCTGGCTGAGGACCAGCACGGGGAGAGAGCTGTGCCGAGGG